CCTGAGGTAGACACTCTTGATGCACCCCCTTGTGGGCTTTGTGCACAGTCTTGTTGTAATTAAGCCTTGATTGTTGTAGTTATCACTGTGAGGAATTGACCTCCAGGTCAATTGGCTGTGAGAGTCAGCTGTGTCTGCAGTGGGAGAACTTCTGTGCTGGAGACACCCCTCTGGGGCTAGACTTGCTTCAGTGGGGCTTTGGTGCTCACTGAGTCTTCCCCCTGAGTGTGTCTTTTACAGTTCCACAGAGCTGCAAACTGGATGGTCCCACTCTGACCTCTGGGCTTCCTGGCTCCTGGATCTCTAAGGAGGTGCTAATCTAGCCTTTGCCTGAGGCTATCCAGCAAAAGTCTCCCTGCAGGGCTTGGGCGGGGCGGGTCCCACGGGATCAACAGGGCGGGGTTAGCAATTATGGCTGCTCTCAGTCTTGCCTTCAGAGGCTCTGCTTCTCAGTGTCCCAGTAATTGCTGCAAGCCCCACGGAGAGAAAGCTGCCCTAGGGTTCTGAGCGATGCCAGACAGTCCCGCTTCTCCTGTATGAGTCTGGGTCCCTAGAGACTCGCCCGGAGCTGGAGCTCAGAGTCTGATACTCCCTCCCGATTGAAAACAACAACCACACCCTCAGCCGCCAGCCCGCTCCGCATGCACTCTGCACCTTAGTATTTTACTTCAGCACTGCGCCTCCTCTGAGTCTCGGTATGTTTTACTTTTTCCTCCTAGTTGTAGAACTTCCACTCAGCCAGCCTTCCTGTGGTTCTGGATGATGTCCGTTCCGTCTTTTAGTTGTATTTTTGAAGTGGTTGTTCCAGGCAGCAAACTCTGGTGTTTACCTATGCCGCCATCTTGGTTTTTCAGCAATTTTTTTATTATTATTTTTTAATTGCTTAAAGTATTACAAAGAGTATTACATAGGTATCCTTTTTTTCCCCCTCCCCTTTACATTCCGCCGAGCTCCCCTACCCCCCAATGTCTTATGTACATTTGGTTATGCTTATATGCATGCATACAAGAGATCCTTCAGTTGATCTCTTACCCCTCCTTTCTGCCCCCCAACCCTCCCCGGCCTTCCCGCTATAGTTTGACAGTCTGTTGTATGCTGCTCTGCCTCTGTATCTATTTTTGCTCATCAGTTTATAATGGTCTTTATTATCCATAAATGAGTGAGATCATGTGGTATTTTTCTTTCATTGACTGGCTTATTTCACTTAGCATAATGCTCTCCAGTTCCATCCTCTCTCTTGCAGCCTTTAAGATTCTCTCTTTGTCCTGAACATTTGCCATGGTAATTATGATGTGTCTTAGTGTGGGTCTTTTTGGGTTCATCTTGTTTGGGACTCTCTGTGCTTGTGTGACTTTTTTCTTCCCCACCTCAGGGAAGTTTTCTGATATTATTTCTTTGAATAGGTTTTCTAACTCTTGTTCCTCTTCCTGTTGTTCTGGCTCCCCTATTATTCATATGTTGTTTCGTTTCATGTTGTCCCATAGCTCCCTTAGGCTCTCCTCCTGTCTTTTAATTTTTTTCTCCAATTGCAGTTCACTTTGGGTGTGTTTTGCTACCCTGTCTTCTAATTCGTTAATTCTGTCCTCCACTTCTCCTAGTCTACTGTTGAAACTTTCAATGGTGTTTTTTATTGCAGCTATATCACTCTCCATTCCTTCTTGATTCTTACATAAGTTGTTGATTTTTTTCATCCATTTCTTCTTGATTCTTGCAGAAGTTGTTGGTTTTTTCCTCCATCCGGTTTATGCACTCTAGGACCCTTAATCTGAATTCTTTTTCTGACATGTTGCATGCCTCTTTTCACTTAGCTGCTTTTCTGGCGAGTCCTCCTTTTCTTTCCTTTGGGGGTTTCTTTGTCTACCCATGTTTGATCTCACTGACAGATCTAGATGTTGAGTCGTTCAGGGGCTGCTCCTTGGGTGGCAGTGGCTCCTCGGGCTGCGGTTGCTCCTCGGGCGGTTGCGGTAGCAGCTCCTCAGTTGGCAGCAGCTCCTCTGGTGGGTGCTGTTCACAGCTGTGATGGCTCCTCTGGCTGGTGGCAGGCGGCTTCTCACACAGCTGCTGTTCCTCAGACAGAGGGTGTGCTGATCACAAGGCTATTGTTCCTTGGATGGGGGCAGGCTACACACGCAGCTGCTACTCCTTGAACTGGGGCAGACAGCTCACGTGGCTGCTGATCCTTGAATGGGGGCTGGCTGCACGCCGCTGTTGTTCCTCTAGTGTGGTGGGCTGCTTGTGGAGCTACTGCTCCTTGGACTTGGACAGGTTGATTGCAAGTCTGCTGCTCCTCATACGGGGGTGGGTTGCTTGCGCAACTGCTGCTCTTCGGACAGGAGTGAGCTGTACGCGTGGCTGCTCCTCCTTGGATGTGGATGGGCCCTTCACCCCACTGCTGCTTGTCGGACAGGTGCAAGCTGTGTGTGGCTCTGCTCCTTGGACCGGTGCGTGCTGCGCAGGGCTGCCGCTCCTCAGACGTGGGTGGTCTGCTCGTGTGGCTGCTGCTTCTTGGACTGGTGCGGGATGCGGGCTGTGCGCAGCTGCTGCTCCTTGGATGGGGGCGGGCTGCGCAAGGTTGCTGCTCCTCAGACGTAGGCAGACTGCTCGTGCGGCTGCTGCTCCTCAGACGGGTCAGACTGCTCGCGTGGTTACTGCTCCTCAGACGGGGGAGCGGGCTGCTCACACAGCTTCTGCTCCTTTCCAGGGGAATTCTGCCCTTCCCGGCTGCATACTGTCTCACCAGCTCAGTATACTTCGCCAATTCGGGGTGGATGTTCCTTGTTTCAGCTGCTCGTTCTATTTGCTCTGGGACAAGCTTTGGGATGCGTCTGCCTATTCCGCCATCCACTGATTTTTTTCTAGAAATTCTTAATGTCAGTAGTTATACTGCCAGCATCCCTACTCATGCCCAAAGTTTCCTGCTACAATAGTAAGTGGAATTTAACTCAGAGTCTATGATGGACATAAAAATTCTGCCTCTTAGTCCCTTGACTAGTGAACCCTAAATTTACTTCTCAACATGACTGTACTTTTTAATACACACTTATAAATGAATAAGCAGGGTTCCTTACCTCTCAGAGAATCAGTCTTAATCAAACTAAACATTTATGAAAATGGGTTCTGTAGTTCCAGATTCTCTATTTTAAAAAAAGTGTTCCATGATCCAATGAATTTGAAAGTTCATATACTGTATGTTGTACTATAAGCTTTGGTTGATTTTTCAACTTTTAGCATTTTTGTTCATTTTATTCAGGCATTCATTTATTCAATAAATACTTATTAAATTCTTCCTGTGAGCCAGACATGCATTAGATGCTGGGGACAGGATGAGGGACAAGGTAGATCAAGGTAGAGGGTCTACATTCTTAAATCTTACCATCTGTGTATAAACATAGATATTAAAATAAGCAGCTACACTATAAATTGTTAAGGGCTAAAACAGGGAGAGATCCAGGGCTCAGGAGGAATAGACAGCAAAGCTACCTAACCCAGCCTGAAAAGGATCAGTGAAGGTATTCTCTGTTAATACTGTCTACATTAAGAACTTGAAGATCAAGTAGAAGTTAGACAGGCAAGTAACTTTCAGTCATAAGAGCAGCAATAATGATAACAGGAAATAGTTAAAGCTGACATATACTGGTAAGTGCACTTTTTACCCGCCATATGCTGTGCTAGATGCTTTCCAAGTGTTCCATCAATGAGCCTCCTGGGTGGGTTTTATTACTTAACCCAAGATCATATGACAATAATTGGCAAGAACCAGAATTTAAATCCTGATTGCTCTGATTTTCAAGTCTTCTTTCCACCTCCTCTCTACTGGCTCTCAAAGCAGTGGACTGATTTTGATTAACTATATTTTGCTAAAGCAAAAAAAGATTTAACTTATATATGAAGTTTGCTTTGTTTGTGATTTTCATATGACATTTTTTTCTAATGGATAGACATTTTATAATTTTGATAAATTATAGTAAAATCTGGAATTTGGGTAGAAGTTTCAAAAGTATGTTTTAGCACTAAAGTCTGAAGTTCCCATTCCAAGTACATAGTAGGTACTCAAAACAACACCATTGTAACTGTACATTTTACTTCGAATAAGTGGTAGGGTAGTTTGAAAAAACCACTTTGAAGTCTTGTAAAGAAAGGAGTTACATTTAAAAGTAATTTAATTCTCTGTATGATGTGATCAAGATGGCTGTAGGATAATTTTTTTAAGATAGAACATACGTAAAATGTGAAGATATAAAATTGATTCCCTTAAAAATGTCTGGACCTGTCTATCAACTGCAGCTTATGAACACATTTTTTACAAGAATAATCATGGGTGGAGTGAACATATTTCCTCAGTGAGGAGTACATAGCATCAAGACAGCTTACTATTAATACTTCTGAATATCTAAAAGGAAGGGTCAGGAAAAGAGGAGCAGGTAAATTTAAGAAAATAAAATGGATTGCCATTATCACAGCAGATGTGTTTAAAATCCCTTGGGTCCTGGAGTGAGGTGAAGTAGCCTGGCTTTTGCCTAATGATGGCAGATTGGGCCAGGCCCAGACGTAATTCATAGACTTGCTTTAATTGGTGTGTCGACATTCCAGTCATCACCAAACTCACCATCAAAGTTACTTTAAAATAATATATATAATGTATATATCATACAAATATATATTTTTAATTTCTCCTCTTCACTATCAGGTGGTGATTTTGAGGAGTGAAATGGTCACAAGGAAAGAGAAGTGATCACTTATTTTATCTGGAAGGAAAAAGAGAAGTGAAGAACTTGGATAATTTATAAACCTGGATTAATTTCCAAATCCTTATAATTTATATTTACATCTACAAAATACTGTTGCTGAATAGAATTCCATCTGCTATTTTTATTTATTTGGTGAAATACAGGATAATGAAGAAAAAGAAAATAGGAAGTGTTCTTGTGTTCTATATTTATTCATGATCAAATGTCAGTGTATTTCCTGACTAACTTTAAATTGTGTTGGTTTCACTTTAGGGACACCACGGTACAAAGCCTTACTCTTCAGCCTTCTGTTAAAGATGGACTTATTGTGTATGAAGACTCACCTTTGGTTAGTAATCCAATTATATGAATATTCTCTACTGTGTGTTTGTTTTTTTTAATGGTAGTTGTATTTCAGCCTTTGAGTAAGGGGAGTATGGAATCTCCCATAGATTCCAATATATTTCATTCTTAACTGGAAAGCACTCATTTATGTCATTTGGGGAGTGGATGTTTAATTGTAAATTATTTGGGGAAAATAACATGGTTTCTTACTCTGTTCTCTCTCCAGAGTGAGAGATTTAGGGAATGATTGAAATCCTCTAATGATTTCTTTTCCATTCCAGAATCTAAAAAAGAAAAAAGTTTTCTGTGTTTTGTTTTTGTTTTGTTTTTTTCAAATGTGTAGAGTTTGAAATTAGATAATACTTCTGGAATGTTTTTAAAAATGGTTTTAATAAGAATATTAACCAAATGTTTTAGGCAACTGGAAAGAGCTATTCCTCAGCTTCTCACATAAGGCCTCAAAAAAATCCTGTCCTGCCTTGCCTACCCCTCTGAGTAGATAATGCCTTTGCATCAGTGTCACAATAAGCCATCATGAGAACCTGTGTGACCCAGACCCCAATGACTGGAGTCTTTAGGAACTCCTGCCTGAATTCTCCCAGTGTGGGCCTGACTTCCCCTGAACAGAGAAGTGAAGGCTGAGGTTGGGGGTAGAAGCTGTATGAGTTATCATCTTTCTAAATTCAGTTTAATTTTACCCTGATATTAAAAGAAAAGTATCGGTTTTTTAAGAATGTGGAATAAAATATCCGTGGTAGAGGAAATCAGTTACTTCTCAATCTGTATTTCCTTACATATTTATTTGCCAAAACTATGTAATGAGAAAAGTTTATGATTTGACCCATTTTATGTTATGAGATATTTCTTACTATTTAAAAATGTAATCTTTGGGTTTACAATTAAATTCATTGAGTATCTCTTCCTATCCATTCTCTAAAAATATTTTAAAGAATTTTCGTCGCTTCTACCTTTCTTTTCACAATGTTACCATTCAGTCAATCACCTAAGACCCACGAGTTTTTCTTATTTTGTTTCCTTTCCCCTCTCTCCATCTAATCAGTTGCCAATACTATAGATTATACCTCTGAAAAACTCTTGAGATCATCTAATGCTTTTTATTTCCATTTCCCCCACTTTCTCTCTAAAATCAGGTGCCAAACCATTTTTGGACCAAGTTATTATGCTCATCCCCCTTTGGTCGATTCTGCATATTGCTGCCCGATTAAATGTCCTAAAGTATAGCTCCCAGCTCCTTTCCGATAATTTCTGAATTCATATATCTTAGTTACATCCCACTATTTAGTGAGGAAAAGTACATGTTTTTTTGTAGTAGAGACCTGATCTACCCTTTCAGACCCTATTCTCTTTTCTTACATTTAACCTCTGCTTCAGACAAGATAGACTATTCTTATTCACTCTTCCCTCAGAATACTTCGGGATTTCTTGAGTTTGACCATTGATACCCTTTATCTTGAATACCCACCTCTTCACAGTCCATTCTGATCTGTAAAAATTGTATACTCTTTCAGAGCCATAACAAATGCAATGTTCTGAAATCCACCATTTGTTGTAATGTCTCACTCCACCCCCATGACACTTTAATTTCTCCATTTGTCATACTTGTTTTAAATCTCCCCTAGTCTGGTGTGTAATATGTTGTGGACATCACCAACATAGGAATAATTACACTGCTAACGGGAAATAAATTACTGTGGAGTTAGCAGTTTAGTAACTATGAGAAGCTTTTTGTGGAGATCCATAAATTTTGTTTCCAGCTCTGCTACAAACTTTCTTTGTGACTGTATATACATAACTTAACCAGCTATTATAAATCCCAAGCACCGAATGATGAAATTTTCAATGTTTGCTTTCATTTTTGTTTATGGTAAATGTTCTGTCTTCAAAGGTTAAAGCAGTAAAGTTGGGTCATGTTCTGGTAGTAGATGAGGCTGACAAGGCCCCAACAAATGTTACCTGTATTTTAAAAACTCTAGTAGAAAATGGAGAAATGATTCTAGCAGATGGAAGACGCATCGTTGCAAGTGAGTATAAAAAAGCAACTCTTCTGCCATATATGCAACTTTTACTCCCTGGTATCCAATCACACCCTTAACTGGCTCCTTATCTCCAAGTAACAAGTCTAAGTTCAAGTTGTCTTTACTGACAGTCATTTACAAAAATCAAATGTCTGAACTTAGCTTTCTCAATTTCATTTTTTTATAGTCAGAGTGTATCTTTGAAAATTTCAATAGTAGTTTTAAGACAGGTCAACTTCAGATTTTTCTTCTCTGAAATTACCAATATAGAATCCTTACTATATTCATCTCTCAATTACTACACGATATATTTTCTTTTATTGTTACGTGGAATTTTTGAAAGCTCTAGCATGTTTCTATTACACTATTAAAATTAATGTCTTTATTATCTCAGTATAATTACAAAAATTTCTGGGTATTTTATATATATATTTGTCACATTTGTGTTTGAATAGATGTGTGTGTGTACACAGGTATATTATAGACACATACACACCTGCCACAGGAAGAAGTTATCCTCTGTTTTAGATTATCTTCTTCCTTTTATTTACTTATTTTATTCCTGTTGTTAGAGGAAATGTAGGTAGATGAATCTAATCAGTCTGTTTAACCTACAAAGAAAAATTAAGTTTGTCTAATGCAATGTGAGAACATTTTCTAGTTTATAATTTAAAAATTTTGTATCATGAAAAGACTTCACAGTCTATAACTAGCCATTGAAAATAGTAACCAAACAAGTTGCGACTGATAACTAAAATTTTCAATATTCACAGAGAACATGTTAAAAAAAAAACCTTATTAAAAATGTACAAGTGCATCACCACAGAGATGTTTTTCTTGGGCATTGCCATTACAAAATTTCTGTGTCTGAGCCTGGGAAACTCAGCACTAATAAAAGTATTCTAACATTTCAGTTTCACAATGAATTTCTGGGGAAAATGAGAATTTGAATCAGACAGCCCGAATACTACCTCCAAGAAAGATTATTCAGACTCTCAGGACTAGAATTCTGCCTGCCCTTTTTAGAGGGATTATGAGGACAGTGAAATGGAAAGCAAGAAAGAATTGCTGAAACAAATTTTAGTTTAAGAGTGATATTATATCCTGGTAACCCTTTTTCTGATACATTTTTTTAAAGATAGTCTAGAAGTAAAGGGGTCATCATACTTTTTAAACTCAGGTTTGATTGTAAACAATATTTTATTTTATTATTATTATTATTAGTTTTAATCTTTATTCCCCTTTTTCCCCCAGTGACACCTTCTAGCTCCCTAACACCTTCACCTCCCCAAGCCTTCACCACAGTGTTGTCTGTGTCCATGAGTTATGCATATATACATACAAGTTCTTTGGTTGATCTCTTCCCACCCACCCACCTACGTCCGCCTTCCTTCTGAGATTCGACAGTCTGTTCCTATTTGTAAATAATGTTCTATTTTTTTTTAATTTCTTTATTGATTAAGGTATTACATATGTGTCCTTATCCCCCCATTGTGTAAACAATGTTTTAAACACAAGAGCCCCTGAAGCTCCTTTGAACATGATTTCATAAAGCATCACTTCTAGAGCTATTTTTTTATTTTCTTTGCTTTTTAAAATTTTTCATTTTTTATCATTTTTTATTTTAATTAACTAATAATTAAATTTTACCTGTAACCACATACCTTATTATTTGCCACTACTAAAATTAATGGAGATCAAACATTAAAACTATTAAGACTATATGGTACATTGAAAGGTTAGTTTTTGGTATCATAAAAAGTGCCAGTTCAGGTTCTTATAGACTCAAATGAAACTGCAGGTGCTTCACAACTATCATTTTTAATGATAGTATTCAAGTCCCTTAATACCTTAAACATTTGCACACAAAAAGCTCCAGTCAACCTAAGATTACTTATTTTAAGAACTATGGTAGAATTTTTTCATTGGAAATAAATCAGCATTGCACAAATGAGTTGACTGTGTTCAAGACCATTATTCTCTTTGGCTAAGTTTCAGAGTGAATAGTTTGCATAGGAATCACTCCTTAGCTGCATAATGGCACGTTCTCTGCAATGTGATGCAGCTGCTGATTTGATAAAAACTAAAGGCTGTTTGGATTGTCCTTGAGTGTGCTTTGGATTATTCCTTGTTATTGGTTCTTATTTTCATTTTTTAAGGAATAACAGCATCTCAAGCCAAACTAAAATACCATAAAACAACATTTGGACAAATTTGCTTTTTTAATAAATAAATGTACATTGAATAACATAAAAATGCAAGTTCCTGTATAATTAGTATATGATTTATCAGTATTCTGTTCTTAAGCAAACTTTCTCAAGAAAGTTTTTTTCTGTAAACAAGTCATTATTGACCATATTTCTTAGTGTTTTTAAAATATAATTGAACAGTATGACAACTTGTTATATTATTTAAAGGCTATAACTTGGTATTCTTAAGAATTATTAAATGTCAATAAAGAGTAAATAGAAATTTTGTTTTTCAGATTCTGCTAATGTCAATGGAAGAGAAAATGTTATAGTGATTCATCCTGATTTTAGGATGATTGTTCTGGCCAACAGACCTGGATTTCCTTTCCTTGGCAATGATTTCTTCGGTACTTTAGGTAAAAGCAATAAATGATAATAACAAAAACAGTAGCAATAGCAATAATATCGCTGTCTTAGTAACACCTGTAATGGCTATCAGTGAATGCTTCGAAGTGCAGTGTCACCATCCCAGCCTCCTGGGAGAGTGCTTGTTATCCCCATTTTAGAGAAGAAGATCTGATATTCGGAGAGGTTAACTGCTTTTCCAGGGGCACTTAGATAATGGCTCATTTCCTTAAACAGTTACACTATACTTTGTTGTTTAGGACCTCTTAGAAGTAAAATACAAAGTAAGGATTGGTTTTTAGTGTTTGGTTTTTGTTACATCCCCATAACTATGAAAAGGTTGGAAGCCAGCTCAGAAGACTGATTGGAGAGGCCCTTGGCTAACCTTAACCACCAGGAGCCTTTAAGAAGGACATATCTTTCTATGGCACGTAGGTAATTCTGGATACTGGTAATTCTCATACTCAACATGAGCGGGCTCAGTGTCCTAGGAGGAATTTTGATCTAGTAATTCCACATTAAGGAATTCATCTAAGGGAGTTACCCATACAATGATGTAAGTACAAAGATAGGCAGTATAGCATTTTTTAATAGTAGCAAAAAATTGGAAACAATCCAAATGGGACTGGATAAAGAAATTCTATTATATCCACACAATAGAATACTATGCAGCTGTCTTAAAAAAAGAATAGGGTAAGTTTACCCATACTGATTAAAAAATAATTCCCAAAATACAGTAAATCAGAACAGTGGGTATATTAGTCTACCATTTGAATTAGTAAAAAAACAAAAGGCAAGAGGGATATGTGTACAAGATTAAACTTGTACATGTGTAGAATTTCTTTAGAAGAGCACAGAGCATGTCTCCCAAATCCTCTTCTCTCTCTGACCTCATTTTTTATTCGGCTCTCTTCATCACTCATTCTATTCCAACCATTCTGCTTTGCCGCCTCTTCTGCGAACATACCAGATTGTGCTTGCTGTAGGGTCTGTATTAGCTGCAAGTTCTCCAGAATGCTTTTATCTTCAATACCTGCATTTGCAGACAAGAGGCCCTGCCTGACTGACTTCCCCACCATCACCATTTCTGATGTCCTACCCTCTGCTTTTCTTTTTCATTGAAACATTGAGTTTCTAACATTTATTCTTATTTTTTATTGTCACCCTATGCCAGAATGAACACTCCATGAGGACAGGGGTTTTGTGTTTTTGACCACTGAAGCATGTAAAGTACCTAGAATAGACATGGAAGACACTTAATAATTACTTGATGAATGAATTAATAAGGGGTAATTATAGTTTTATATTAGTGTTACATTTGATCATAAGCAAAAAAGGCAAAAGCTGTTCCTCACATTTGTATTTAATGGATTTAGTCTATGACATACGAGGTTAGGATGACGATTCTGTCCAACAGATCTGGATTTTCTTTCTTAGGCAGTGATTTCTTTGGTACTTGCATTTTATTCCATTGCTGTTATAAATATGTAATAATGATAAAATGATGATTCAAATGGTTTCTAAATTAAAGAAGATCTAGATGTCCTTTCTTTCTAAAATGAACATCTTAAATAATGAAAATTTATTTACTTTAACTCCCTTTTGTTCCTCATCTCCTGGATTATGAATCAGTAGAATTATATGAACTTTGAATATAAGAAAGTCACCTTTCTTTAGCATAGATTCTATTTTTCTAGCATATTCTCAGTTGTCTAAATTACAGATGAAATATTTTGTGTTTCCACATTCCTTTTTCTTGATTCTAATTTAGACATTGTCGCTGCAGGTTTGCTTTTCCAAAACTGACTTCTAACTTATATTCTAGCAATCTGCTCAAGGTATAAATTATTTAGAGTGATGATGCTGATTCCCCCTTTTTTAGTAAACATAAAGCATGCATATGAGATAGATGTATATAATTTCTCAAGATATTTAATGTGTTAAAGTTAAAAATGCAGTCTTAGAACAATATGAAGGTTATTTTCCAATTAAATGGAAAAGGACTAGATCACCAAAACTATATATGTTTGTATGTGTGCATTTAAAAAAAAAAAAACCTGAAAGAATAATTTCACTGAACTGTTAACACAGGTTCCTGTGGGGAGCAAATGGGATGGCAGAAACACACAAGAGGTTCTTTTTTATGCTCTTTATATTTGAGTATCTCCCAATGAGATTGTATCCAAGTGTTATTTAGTTTTTTAATAGAAGCAAATCTATGCAGAATAAACCACACATCACTCAATTTCCTTTTCTTTAACTGTGGTGATTCGCTGTCTTCTCCACATCCTCCTATTGTGGAGGGGCTTTCTGTGCAGTTTTACACATTTAAAAGTTTGCTTTTGTGACCAACCGGTGGCTCTTTAAACAACCATTGCATATTTCCTATGGCAGTATAATGGATTCGTTGCATGCTGAATGTGAATTTTTTTCTCGTATAGGTGATATTTTTAGCTGTCATGCAGTTGATAATCCCAAGCCCCACTCGGAGCTTGAGATGCTCAGGCAGTATGGACCAAATGTGCCGGAGCCCGTCCTTCAGAAGCTCGTGGCTGCCTTTGGAGAGCTGAGGAGTTTAGCTGACCAGGGGATTATTAGCTACCCTTATTCTACCAGAGAAGTTGTCAACATAGTCAAGCACTTACAGGTATGGCAAATGCTTGTGCACAAAGGTTTAAAATAAGCCATCAGTCTTTTTTTAGACAGCTTAATTTATACCAGATCTTTCAATTTCTGTAAATATTATACCGATTCAGTGATATAAGTGTTTGTCATCTAGATTTAAATCTGGAAAACCAGTGGCCATTTTATGTTTAGCCTTTGAATTAAATTTGGCAAAGTTCTTTGTCATGGCCATTACCAAAGAGCCATGAAATCTGGTTGGGGGGCAGGGGAGTGAAACAAGAGAGTGAGACAGCAGGGAAACTTTTTACTATTTGACTTTATACAACAAGCACATAGTATCTGAGTGAAAATAGAAGACTTGGGAATAGAAAACAAACTGGGGACCAACAGTATTATTAATTATATATCTGTAAATACTGCAAGACAGTTTTATAAGATAGAGTAAATGAACAGGAGAATGAAATTCCTTGTAGCCATGTGGAATGTGTAGTCTACTTACCTTGGTAAAGAAAACAAAAAAATCTATGTAAATTCTATTTATAACAAATAATTGTTAGATCTCATTATTAGATATAATGTTTATAAGTCTAGTTATTTTAAATTCAGCAATTGATGTTTGCTTAGAAATTAGGTAGCTTGTAAGTATGCACTGAGTTGAATTAACAGTACACATAACAATAAAACTACATTGTAATTCATAAGATATTTGTTAAAATTTTGCTTTGTACTGTTTAGAAAACTAGGTATTGTACTCATGTAATCATATTCTTCTATTCAGACTCATTTAAGGTAATGAGTTGTAAGAATGCTCAATAAAAAATTAATAATTATGAAATAAGAAAAAAAATGAACTTTAAGCTAACAATTACAACCTCATGACTCTTGATCTTTTCCCCATTCCAACCCTCCAAGGAAAACCAGCAAAGGAATATAGAAAGCTTTATTCTGATTGTAAAACTATGGTAAGCCCAGCTCAGATCTCAGTGTGTGAGAAAGACAGAGCCAGTGAAGGACCCAGAGGACACTGTAGTGTGTATTTACACGAGTGGGAACTTGTTTCTTTCCCTCTGCTACACCTCATTTCTCTGTGCTCTGTACTTGATGTTCTCTCTGTCTTTTCTTGTTCTGTTATCATATTTTCATTTCTTCATAGACCTTTGACTTTTCTAAATACTTCTGTATAGATATTCAATGCTCTGCTCTGTTTAAACAGTATTTTTTTATTTGTTCAATCTGGTATTCATTTTAAAGTCAGGAGATTTCAGAAAGCAGTGGAAGGCACTGAAACCAGCATCTAACATGGTTTAACATTTGACAGAAGGAACTGGGCCCCTCAAATTCTAATATTTATTTAAAAAGGAAAATTCCAAGTCATCAGAGCAAAATTAATAGAGAAAATACACATATTCCTCCTATCTGGTTATGAGACCAGGCTGTTAATGTCTGCTCAAGTTCATTGTATCATCATTGTTCTATCAGTTTTGTACTTATATTGTGTATTTATCATATACATAATAAGGTGTGTGTTTTTTAATGCAGAAATTTCCCACCGAAGGTCTCTCCAGTGTGGTTAGGAACGTGTTTGACTTTGATTCCTACAACACCGACATGAGGGAGATTTTAATTAAGACTTTGCACAAGTACGGGATACCTATTGGAGCAAAACCTACCAGTGTGCAGCTGGCGAAGGAGTAAGGCAAACTCACTACTGATAAAATGCTGTTGAGTGTTACTGTTCTAATTCTCTGAATCATGCTAATAATTCTTAATCTACTTTATACTCCACTAAACTAAGTTGGTGTAGAAATTACTTTCCACAAGTAAACTTTTCAAATATATGTTGCTATTTGCTGGCTGGCTTTCAGTTAAATAGCATTATTTAGAAGCCTGTAAATTGAGAATTTCAATTTTGAATGTTCCAAGAGTAGATGTAATATAATCAAATAAAGGGAAATATTTGTTTCTTTAAGTCTCTGTCTTTTTGTTGAATTACTATGACTCTCACTATTTCTTAACCTAGTGCAAAATCATTGTACAATGTGAAAACAATGTAAAGGGATAATATGTATTTAGCTAAGATGTTCTTATTTATGTTACCATATATTTTTATGTTATGATAGTTTTTAAATTTATAATTATATTAACTTAAGAGATGTTTGGTTACTTTTTTATCCTGACAGATGAAAGGTAGTGAAAATAAGTGGGTTTGCTTCATATGGGCCAGTTGCCTGACTTTTATTTTGTAATTACAGGCTACGTACTTAACCTTACCAAAGAATCTTGCAAATATTGTTGACCAGAAAGATAGTTGAAAGAATTTATTAGTAGAGTAGTTAAATCCATGCAAAGTCATTAGAAAACAATTTTTGAAATGCATAACTTATTAACTTATGATAAAGATTCCAATACTTTGTCTATAAAAATAATTAGCATAAATTTCTAAGACACAATTACTTTAAAATTATTATTTAACTTTAGTTTCATATAAGAAGCACTCTACTTTCCTTAATAAAAACTTTTTAAATATTATAGTCCAGCTATATTTATGTGTTTATATATACACCCATATAAATACATATATATCCTAAATGTATACATGATCCTCATTTATTCTTTGAAGTTATTATAAAAACTTATCAGAATATATGCCAATAAAAATACATCATTAAAGCTTTAACAATTTCTTCAAAGATTTCTTAAAGAGAAACAAATATTTCCCTTTTGTGATAAAGGCTCAAAATAGAGTTATGTTAGAAATTATCAGTGAATTGGTTTATATTATTAATGAGTTAGTAAATTTTTTTTGAAAAGAGTGATTTTGTTGCTGGTAGAAATGGGGTCATTTTATGGAGTTGTGAGAAAACCATTTTGAAGGACCCATGCATGGGAGGTTGAGGTGTTGTGGTAAGATTTACTGGGGTTGAAATGGATGGCTCCCCCCCAGGTTCCCTGGGTCTCATCTCCCTCATTCCCACTGTGGGAAAACTCCAGCCTTGTCTTCATCAGGCCCAGAAATCCTGTGCGATGCCAAGGCTTAGTCCAATTTTGTCTCTGTCCCCATCTGGCTAGCTTAGTTTGTTTCTGGCTATTTTGCTGTACCCAGGCTTAGAGTCTACACTTGGACACTTGGAGTCCTTGAGGCTGCCAGGCCTCAGGCAGCTGCGAGGCCCAAATGGCTGCTGTGGAGAGAGAATGTGCGAGTGCACTGGGCGAGCTTGTGTTACCAGGTGTGTGTGTGTGTGTGTGTGTGTGTGTGTGTGTGTGTGTGAGAGAGAGAGAGAGAGAGAGACTCCACTTTATTAAGTTTGGATTATATTATCTAGGGCTTGGGAAGGACCAAGTGCCCTTTCAAAATAACCAATCAATTTCCCAATTTTCCCCAGGCTTCTGGTGGGTCTTCACCCTAACCAATCCATTTCCTGGATCTTCTGGGGTTCTGTGTCTCTTACCCAATCTGATTCTTGCCCCAGGCTGTGCTTTGCCCCTTATAGTTGCCATCTTAGTTTCGATTGGGCATGCTTCATAATAGAAGGATTTTATTTTTTGCCATCTTGGCTTCTACTCTGTGTGTACCCAGCAGAGGAATTTCCTCTCCTCCTTCCCCCAATAATCCTGATAATCTGGTACCAGGCCAGCAGTTCCCTGGAGAGACTCTTCTTGCCTATTAGGAGATTGCCTGGGGTTTGCCCAAGGATTAAGTCCCAAGGGTGGAGGATGCGATGGTCTCCTGGAGTGGGTGAATGAACCTGTGATGCTATAGCTTCTCAGTGAAGCATGCCCAATATTTGTTTCAGCTGCCTAGTTTATTATGCTTAATGTCTGATTCCCTTTGCTCCCTTCCTTTATTAATATCTAGCTACCTACACTAACAATTTGGTGTCAGAGCTAATACGTAAAGCTTTCTGTAAAATACTATTTTACTAATTGATTAGCAGTGTTTGTGGGCATTTTGGAACTAGTTTGGTAATTTAATGGGTATGATCTATCTTCTGCATTAGAAAGTTCAAGAAATTGTCATCAATATGCAAATTCTATTACTGTTCATGTTTTTTTTAACTTTTTAAATAAACTAAATCTTTATTTTCAGTTGGAAATAGGATGGTTTTTATTACCATTAACAAATTTATATAATTAGAGTTCTAGGTTCTTGGAAACTAGGCTTATTATTTAAAAGTAACTTTTTATACTCTTATACAACTTGAAATAAAAATACATATTAGTTGGTAAGCGCAATCAAAGTAAAATTGTTGGTAATTTTCTAAGGAAGACAGGTAAAATAATTTAACTTATTTATTACTGACCTTAGTTCTAAAGTGAAAAATTGTTGCCACGCGACATTAATTCCAACTCTAGTGCTCATGAGTGGAAGCAAAATACCTGGTACATTGAGCCTGGAAATAAGATGGTCACACTTGTGCCTAAGATGGGGATGGAAACAACAAGTTGTCCACCCACTGCATATAGCTAAAAATAGAGTTATTGCAGATGTGGAAAATGAGGGAATTTTTCCCTTGGGGTGGAGATAATAGTAGACTACAATTTATACATTCAAAACATTTTCCTCATCTGTGAATTGCAGTGTCTTGGGCAGCTCAAAAGTAGTGATGTCATATCATTGCCCTTTAGTGAAATCTACAGTTTCTATGTGTGTATTTCTATCAGATTATCAGCTTTTTACTTTAAGGTTGGCATGGTAAAGTGAACAAACCAATGGCCTGGGAATTCAGTAGATAGTTGTACATTCAACCTGCATGTCCGCGTCAGGGAGAAATAGATTTTAACCTATTGGTAAAAAGAGGGTATTTTATTATAGACTATAGGCCTGGTGCATGAAAGTTGTATACTCGGGGCCCCTCAGCCCGGCCTGCACCCTCTCACAGTCCGGGAGCCCTCAAGGGATGTCTGACTGCCGGCTTAGGCCTGCTCCCCGCCAGGCCTAAGCCGTCAGTTGGACATCCTTAGTGCCGCCACGGAGGCGGGAGAGGCTCCCACCACCTCCACTGTGTTCGCCAGCTGTGAGCCTGGCTTCTGGCTGAGCAGTGCTCCCCCTGTGGGACCGCACTGACCACCAGGGGGCAGCTCCTGCATTGAGCATCTTCCCCCTGATGGTTAGTGCTCGTCATTGCTACCAGTCATTCCTGGTCATTACCCCTTTAGGGTCAATTTGCATATTACCCTTATATAGGATAGCATAACTATGCAATTTATCACTTTAGGACATTTTTGAAAATGGTAAGGGGTGCTATTAATAATTGGGTAAAAAGAGATATAAAATAAAACTACCCTAGTGAAGCCAGAATATATAGTCATCTCCATAAGATTAATAAAGTTCCTTCCTATTCTAACATCCTTTGCATTTTTAATGTAATCTTAATTTTTGGTAATTTTGCCCTCGCCAGTTTGGCTCAGAGGATAGAGCATTGGCCTGCGGACCAAAGGATCCTGGGTTCAATTCCAGTCAAGGGCATGTACTTTGGTTGCAGGCTCCTCCGTGGCGTGGGCCCTGGTCAGGGCTCATGCAGGAGGCAACCAATCAATGCATTTTTCTCATGCTAATGTTTCCCTCTCTCTTCCACTCTCACTAAAAATCAATGGAAAAATATCCTCTGGTGAGAATTAACATAAGTAAACAAACAAACATATATATTCTTTTGCCCTGAATGAAAATATTTTTGCCAAAAGCTATTATTTTCTTGTACTGTAATCCAACTATAGTGCTTACTGAATGGGAGCAAACTTACCTAGAGTCCAGAATAAACTGGATATGGATAGAAAAATAATTGTCCTCTCACTGCATATAACTAAAAAGAGATACAAAGCAAATGTTGTAGAAGAAGGAAGTTTTCACATGGGGAGATGATACCAGACCACTGTTTGTAAAGTCTACAGCACCTTCTTCCTGAGCTGAAATCAGAATATACTTTGGCTGTTTGGTTAATGATCTTTAGTCAAATTCCCAAAAGAGAGATGCTGTCATTTTCCCTTTTGTCCTCCTAAATAGTGCAGTGATGATGCATATCTCATAGTCTCTGCACATTTTTAAAAGGCCCAAAGTGATATTCTGAGGCGAATATTACTTATCTTCTTTACGGAACCTTTGGTAAACCTGTACTTTGGGCCATGTCTGACTGGGTGATTATTTTACCTTGGGGGACTGCACCAAAATGCAGCTCTTTTCCTGATCTATAATATATTCCCAGATCTTAGTACCATGGTCAGATTTGGCTACCTACACCCCCATATTGCATTTACCTTGTCCCACTGGTACTTCTTGAGGGTTTATTATTTTTATTATCATTATTATTATTCCCTTTTAAGTTTCTAATACATGGGAAAGATATGCCAAAGAGATGGTGAACATAACCAAATGGGATTCACTGGAAAAAAAATTAGGTAGAGATGGGAGATTCAGGTTAAAATCTGAGCTCTTAAAAATTAATCTGAGCTCTTTAGTTTCAAATGTCATTTGTGGGGAAAAAGAACGCACACACACATAATTAGGTCCAAGCACCAACCAAAAACATATAGATGACATACTCTAGTATAAATAGACATAAATTTCAAAGCAAAGTTTGTTTTTCCATCAAATGAACTTTTATTTCTGAATTATCTTTTATTTGAAAAAAACATACTGCTAGCACATTAACTCTTCCAAATTTAAAATTGTTTTCATAGTAATTTATGAACTCTC